TTGTCCTCAGTTCAGCTGAGTTACATCCACCTATTCTTATGAAATTGATTTTTCATACTTCCCTTCCTCTTCCTCTGAACAAATATGTATGCTATTACAGTACTAATATCTTTCTACTACTTTGCAAACCATTTTGGTGTAAAAGGATGTCCTCAAGTAAAGAAAAATTAGTCACAAGATGCAGGACCACATTTGGGCCTTGCTTCTCATCTTGTAGGTTACCATGTGTCATACCCCATTATTGTAAGTATTACTTCTTAGGAATTAGAGTTTGCATTTTTCTTCTCCAGTATTTCAGTAATAATCCAGCAAACTCTTAAAGAATTTGTACTTAGACAATTGTACTTTTTCAGTTCCTGTCAGACACCCCACAGACAGAGACTTTTATCAACACATTTTCCCTATCTTCTTTCTCCACTACCTTATCTGTTCCCAACTTGGTTGTTGTTTAGCAAAATAGTCTCTCTAATCTTTTATATCTAGTTGCTTCTTTTGCATTCAAAGGATTTACTTTGCCATCCTAGCTTAGTTTTCATCTGCTTCGAACAATATTTTGTCTTAATTAAAATGATCTTCCAGCAACATTAGGAAATTCCCATGCGTAGGTTAGAGATATAATACACATTACTTCTTCCGTATATAATCTTCCTTAAAGATGTCATAAATCCTTAAATGTGATTATAAACAAAAGGACTTGTAAGGTTTCAGGATCACACCCCCGCCCCCATCCTAAAGGAATGTTAACATGCAAGTTTTAGATAACTAAATAATGGATTTGTTTGATAATTTTTATGTTCCATATACATTTTAAATTATTCAGTAATCACTTTAGACATTCAGAAACATTTAAGCAAATTAAAGATATAGAACTTAAAACTTATAATTAGTTAGAAACAGTACTTAATTTTATGGAACATGCAGCTTACAATTTAGGATTTATATCCCGAGACATATAATATATAAGACAATGGCAGTTATATGCAAAGTGTGATACTGTATATATCTTATTGATTAAATGAGATACTTATCATAGCACTTGTCACAGTGAGCTTTCAATAAAAGTTTGCGGATTTTAATAGAATTGTAAATAACTAAATGAGAACAAGCAAACAATTGTGAATAGAGTTATAAGCAGATGCAGCACTGGATTAGTTGATGTGTTTTCAGGAAATCAGGATAGTTCTGCAATATGTCCAGAAATTTATAAAATGTGATGCAGCCATTCCTGATATATAATTATTTTTTATATCTACTGCCCCACTTTTCTGAACTTCAGAACAATCCCTTTCTTATCAAAAGTGGTTAACTATTTCTTTCAAAGTTTGTTTCTCCGTAATGTAAATGCAGCTTCCAATTTCTTTCTCGAATGCAATGGGATATTTACCATTCAGAATATATCTGGCTAGAAAGTGTCTTAGTTTAAAAGAGAGCTTTTAAATAAACCCCTGCCTATATAGTCAATTAATATATGACAAAGGAGTCAAGAACAGGCAATGGTGTAAAGTCTATTCAGTAAATGATGTTGGGAAAACTGGACAGATACATGCAAAAAAATGAAACTAGGACAAGTTCTTACACCATATACAAGAATAAACTCAAAATGGATTAAATATCTAAATGTAAGAATTAAAAGTACAAAACTAGAAAAAAACATAGAAAGTAAACTAAACTCTCTGATGTCTCTCTTAGCAATATCTTTGTCTGATATATATACCCTCAGGTAAGGGCAACAAAAGAAAATAATCAACAAATGGGACTACATCAAACTAAAAAGTTTTTGCATAGTAAAGGAAACTATAAACAAAGAAGAAAAATAACCCACCTAATGGAAGAAGATATTTACCAATGATACATTCAATAAGGGGTTTATATTCCAAATTTATTTTTAAAAGCTCATACAACTCAACACATACACAAGAAGCACACACACACACACACACACACACACAAAACAAATCAATTTAAAAAAGGGCAGAGAACCTGAATAGACACATTTCCAAAGAGGTCCTTCAAATGACCAATAGACCTATGAAAAGATTTTCAATGTCACTAATCATCAGAGAAATGCAAATTAAAACCATGATGAGCTATCACCTCACACTTGTCAGACTGGCTACCATCAATAAATCAACAAACAACAAATGTTGGTGAAGCTGCGGAGAAAAGGGAAACCCTGTGCACTTTTGGTGAGATTATAAATTATTATACAGTGTTGAGGTTTCTCAAAAAATTAACAATATAATTACTTTATGACCCAGCAATTCCACTCCTGGGTATATAACCAAAGAAACCCAAACCACTAATTGAAAAGAATATCTGCACCCCTATGTTTATTGTAGCATTATTTACAATCTCAGTGCTATGGAATCAACATAAGTGCCCATCAGTCGACAAGTGGATAAAAAAGAGGTGGTATACATATACAATGGAATATTACTTGGCCATAAAAAGAACAATATCTTACCATTTGTGGTAGCACAGATGCACCTAGAGGATATTATGCTCAGTGAAATAAGCCATACAGAGGAACACAAATACCATATTATTTCACTTATTTGTGGAATATAAAAAACCAAAATAAATGAACAAAAAGACTCATAGATACAGAGAACAAACTGACAGTTGCTTGCATGGAGGATGGGTTTGGGGTCTGGGTGAGAAAGGTAAAGGGATTAAGAACTGTAAATTGATAGCTACAAAATAATCACAGGTATGTAAAAAACAACAAAAGAAATATAGTCACTAATATTGTGATAACTATGTATGGTGCCATGTATGAATTATCAAAGGGATCATTTATCTAATCTAATAAAAGAGAAACATGCAAATTGACCACACCTCTGCTATACCCACAAGCCACGCCCACCAGCCAATCAGGAGAAAATATGCAAATTAACCCAACTAAGATGGCAGAGGCTACAGAGCTTGAGTGAGCAGCAGGCTTAGGTTGCCACCGGGAATGGAAGAAGCCAAGCTTCCCGCCTGCCCTGCCGACCCTGAGCTCCGCTCAAGGCTACAAAGATTCAATTATAGAAGATAAATAAACCCCAAATACCTGCTTCCAGCCCGGGGCTGTGGCCAGCCTGAAAAGGGCCCTCAGCCCCTCACCCAGGCTGGCCAGGCACCCCAGCAGGA